TTTTTTTTTATTCCAATCCATTCTTCTTTTGCAGCATTTAAATAACCTTGATCAGATTTGTTAGAGGATTTTTAAGTTTAAGACATTTTATTATTCATTATTGCTGATATACTAAAGCTAAAAGTGTTTATATTTCTGTTCATGTTAAACCAGCTGCACGACTAACCGCTTGCTCTTTGCAATAATAAAGGAAATTGCTTGCTGTCACATTATCTGACAGTAACAGGAAACCGCCGCCCAAGAATAAGAAGCGACCGTTTGAAAACATAATTTTCCGAGAAGTCACAACACCTGCTTGACTAGATAAGCATGTTACTTCCTGTTATCTATATGCTTCATGCTATGTATAAATGAAGGAGTCTCCATTGAGCTCTCACCCGTGCACGTCAAACTGCTAAAGTGTCTGAGTGTTATTTCTTCACATCTGACTGCAGAATAAGACGAATAAACTCTTAACAAGATTTGATGGTTTTGTTACAGACTTTTCAGAAAAGTGTTTTGTTTTTCTTTCACAAATGTGGGATTAAATTGTGTTAAAACGTACAAAACAGTGATGTCATGTTTTGAGATGAGGACCCAGGCACACAGAGACTTGATGAATTTAGGAATTTTATGATTTAATAAAGAAATTTGCAGACTTGCACAGAGATGGTAAAATTATGATGACTCATAACAGAGAAGAAGACAACAGACGACGAGGACAGGGAGGAACAGGGGTTTAAATGCACCAAGGAGACAGTTATAGAGAACTCGGGACAACTGGAGACATTTAAGGATGCAGGGACTGACAGAGACAGGGAAGAAGTCTCATCGTGATGTGTAAAGTTTATCTTGCCTGGCTGGGCAGCTCTCTGGGTGCTCAGCACCCCCAAAGCTCTAATCCTAGGATCGCCCCTGGTTATAACCTTCATTTTATGGACACACAGTGTGAGCACTCAGGTCGCATTAGAGCATCGGGCCGTATAGTGTGAGACTCTGCATCGTGACTTACGAACTTCTAACCCCTGCGACTCAATCGTCAATTTGAGCAGGAGCTGAATCGCGCGACTGAAAAAAATCGCACAGTGTGAGCCCAGCATAAGCATTAGCAAAAGGAGATAGGCGGTACTTTGGAAAAAAAACCCAAAAAAACCACGTGGTTACGCTGCGCAGCTGTGTCACGTGACCACACAGCAACAAACCACAGATGAGCAGGAAAAAGAGGGCGGAGCAAAGTATGTGTGTGTGCGCGCGCAGGAGAGGAGTCGAGCAGAGAGAGCTGCTTTTTCATGAAACGGGAGTAAAGTAGTGAACTTAGAGGAGAGAAACAAACTAAAGTATCGATCATA